GAACAGCCGACGAAGCCACAACCTACCCGGCGGGTAAACCATCACGGCAACGTTCAGGCACCCGCACGAACTCTCAAGCAACAGCCTCGTGACCCAGGAGCCCCTCAGAAACAGGCAAAGGCGGGACCGCAGGTGAAGGAGAGACCCCGGAGGGAGAGACAAGGAAGCAGTCTGAGAGTCCCAAACAAGACCTAGCCAAGTCCAAACCTGGGAGGGGAAACAGATAGGACTTCCTCCTGTTCACCAAGAACCCTAACCCGGCGAGCTGGGAAAGAACCAAACCCCTGGCTAGCAAACATGCAGACCGGCTGGGAGCTCAGACCAGCCAGTCGTCGAGGTAGGCCAACAATCGAACACCTAAAAGATGCAGATGGGCCACCACAACTCGTGTAAGGAATGTGAAAACACGAAGTGCCAGATTCAACCCAAACGGGAGACAACGAAAGTGGTAACTGATGCCCCACAATAAAACCGAGCCAGTCCCTGAACCCCGGAAGATTCAAGACGTGCAAATACGCTTCCCAGAGGTCCAGGGACACCATCCAATCTTGAGGCTATCTTGAGATGATTTCGGGGCTTTAGTGTCCCCGCGGCCCGGTCCTCGACCAGGCCTCCACCCCCAGGAAACAGCCCGTGACAGTTGACAACACCCAGGTACCTATTTTACTGCTAGGTAACAGGGGCATAGGGTGAAAGACACTCTGCCCATCGTTTCTCGCCGGCGCCCGGGATCGAACCCGGGACCACAGGATCACAAGTCCAGCGTGCTGTCCGCTCGGCCAACCGGCTCCCATCCAAGCACCCAGCTCCAACAGAAGCCGGACCTGGGACAGCATAGTCATCCAAAAGGAGAGGCAATGAACCCAGGGGTTAAGACGAGACAAATCCAGAATGAACCTCAGGTTCGCACAGTCCCGTTCTGAGACTGGAAACAGGTGGGAGACCCATCTGAGGGACGTCGTCGTTTAGACCACACCCAAGCGAACCCACTCCAAGATGACCTGACAGAGCGCAGGGAAAGAGGCCTGCCCTGTCAGTCCCAAGCCCCCCCCCCCTGAAGGAGGAGGAGCCACTCAACGACACCGCAGACCGTCGGAGACGACCCGATAAACCCACAAATCGTGAGACCAGGCGTGAGCGAACAGAGCAATCCTCCCCCCCATCGCCCCGTTAATGGGATGAACCGCGAAAGGCCCAGCGCCCCTCATGAGAACCCGAGCCTCACACAGAGTGAACACCATGCTGACGAGAGGAAGGCAGTTCCAAAGGAGGTGCCGGCCCCAGTGACCTACCCCGAAGAGCGGAACCCCAAGCCCTGGCACGACCCCTCCGGGAAGGCCCCCCCCCAGGGGCCCCCAGAGAACTAACAAATCAGACATGAGGAAACAACTAGCCGAAGGCGCTTGCAGATACTGCGCCACAGCAGAATCCGCAAACAGCAGGGGGGGCTGAAGGGCGAAGACAACGTAATAGCCAGGGGCCCAGGCAGATTCCAGGGAGGAAGCAAGCACCGCCTGCTGAAACGCGAGCCGGGAGGCATAAAACAGCGACACCGCATCCCGCAGGATCGGCGCAAACAACTTCAACAAGGCAAGCGATGAGTGAGCCGCTGAGCTTAAGGCACCGAACCCAGGAACAGCCCCAAGCGCCTCCATATCCTCCTCAAGCCAGTCCGAAGACAGCTGAAGGAGGGCAAAGAAGTGCAAAACCGAAGCCAAGATGCCATGAGCGCGCAAGTCCTCAGCAACCAGCGCAGCAGAAAGGGAAGGGACCTGCACATGGAACTGCACAATGCCTACATCCCGAGGAAGGGCAGGAGCAAACAAGCACTCATTGAGGTGCTCAAATTCGGCCCCCAGGAAAACCTGGACCAATGTCAAGTCTCATGCCACTCAAGCATGTGGGAACGACAGAAGGAATGCCACGCCTCCAAATAAAAAAACAGGACAGTTCGCCAGCCAGGACGACTCTGGAACCTCATACCAGATACAGTAGGGAAACGAAGACCCAAACCTGAACGAAGACAGAGCCATGACAGAGGCATAATCCGGGTCACGCAAGAGGTATGTTGCAAAGGCCGCACACAACACACCAGGTTGGATGCCGGAAGCCGAAAACCCGCGGAAAGACGGGACCAAAGCACTCAAAGGGACATGGAACCGAACATGGGGAGGGGCAGACATCAAATCCAATTTGTACGAAGAGGGGGAAAAGGAAAACCGCTCTCCTTGTAACCCAAGGAGGCGCGGACGAAACCAAGGCCGAAGCGACCATCACCCCCCAAGTCTGGGTCCTTATAAGTAAAACGGGGCAGTCTCGGGGCATCCGGTGTAGCAATCAACCTAGCGCGTTGCAACAACCTAAATCTAAAATGCAACACTTGCACTGCCTGTACCCGAAGAATGTCATCACTACTGTGACGATAATCTCTTTCAAGAGAGATTGAGCCTGCTCTTCTCTACATAAAGTTACTTACACATATACAAGACAAGATGCTACCTTCAAGATACGTCTAGCAGTAGCACAAAATGTTTTGACCAGGAGGCAAAACGTACCCTAAACCCCCACTCCACACTCCCTCCATGCCGGCTCGCCCGTCATTAACCAGCAAACTACCATTCCAGCCTGCCTGTTTCTGATTGGTGACCCGCCGTCTGCACACCTGCACCTCAGCGCCCTCTACCTAAGTTGATGTCTGGGCTTGAACCAGCCATTGAAGTCAGAATATCCTTGTGCTCTCAAGCTGTGAACAGCCAACTGATACACGTCCTGTTTATTGGTGGAGGTTCCCAGCTAGCGCTATATTCTCAGCACCTGCTTATGTCATTTTGTCTTTATATTATTCCTAGAGTAATTTATCCCTGTTCTTAATTTTTATGACTTGTTTGTTTGCACTGTACATAGCCAAGGGATTGTCTTTGTTTTTAAATTTGCTTTCCAGTTAATTAAAGTTTCATTGTTCATACTATGTGTTTTGTGTGTCTTCCCTTACTCTACCACAGACAACAGCCAAGCAGTCTCTTTTTTATTTTGTAAATGTGACAGGCATTGACACCAGCCATTAGGAGGACTGCCGAACATCTACACTCCTACACTTTCCCGTCACACTATACTGGGTAACCAAGTCACCAACAAGCAACAAAACTTGCAGGACTTCGGGTTGAAGGTATCGCTGACCCAACAGGCAGCGTGAGGGAGGCAAAAACAACGAGAGTCACCCTGAGACAAGGGGACAGAGCAACCCTCGAACTCGCACAAAGTGAGAGGGGACTCGGGGGTCACATCCATTGGACCCATGTGCCCCCTTGGGGATTCCCAGGGTCCTGAGACGAAACTCACGCTCCAGGAAGCCCAGACAGGGTACTGCTAACCAGCACCCAAATCTACCGAATGACTCACTAAAGAGCTGAACCCCTGGAACGTGTACACTCATGGGGACCTAGTAGAGGGTACAATTGAAGATAATGTAGTACCCAGACACTGCACTCAGGGGGCAACCAAGGCAGCCCCCCCCCCCACCAGGCAGAAAAAGGAAAAGGAAAAATAAAACCCCGCAAGAGGGCAGCATACCCAGGCAGAACAAAGTCGGCTGCTTTAAATGGTGAAAATAAGCTGTGCAGTACTCACCTAGTTGTGCTTACGGGGGTTGAGCACAACTAGGCGAGTACTGCGCAGCTTGTTTTCACCATTCAAAGAATAGCATCAGCAGCACCCTGCGCTCCATACCAGTGCAAACTGCCCCTTACCCTAAGGCAAACAAGATAGACAAAACACCCCATCACACAGAGGGCGGCCGAAAACCAGTAAAGCAGTAAACACCCTAGCAGAGGCAGAACTCAAGGAACTTGTGGAAGGTGGCCCCAAGCCCCAAGGGCAGTATTTACTGGGCACCTAGGGAAAGCCCTAGGCGCATGCAGCCCGAGTACTAAAGAATATCTCCTGGCTCATGCACCGCCTAGAAGACAGTCACCACACACAAGGCACAGTGCTGAAACAACTACTGGAGCCAGAGCACACGACCGCAGCCTATAGCATCAGCCTCAGAACTGAGAGGTGGATGGCTGGCGCAGGAGTTTGGGGCTTCCCCCTTTTCCCTCCTGGGAAGTGGGGCAGCTGCGCAGATGGCGGCGCGGCAATGTGGCGAAGTGTGACATCATATTCGTTTCCTCGTTTCTGTTTCGGGTGATCTATCCACTTGTTAATTTTATTGTAGCAATTTTCACCAGAATTGGGGTTTTGGGACGCTTACTTTTCTGGGTGCCTAACCCGGTCGATGGCAGATATAGAATGCTTCCAACCACACGGGGGTTTCTATAGGCCATTGCTTTAGTACCTGTAGGTGGTATATAGCCAAGCTTGTAAAGAATAGGGTAATCTTAAAAAGATTATAGGAAAAGATCAATTTGTAAGGTAGTCTTGAAAAGGTCGCTTTCTAAGGTCTCTCACTGGAAAAGTTTCGGTCATTCTGGAAGAGATTCAGATATTCTTGAAAATATCTATGGAAAACACCACCATGGAAGCCGCTAGCACTGTTCATCTATGCTACTTGTATCAGATGCATCATCACTGAAGCTAGAAAACGATTCATCTATGGATCTTCTATGGATCTGACCTTTGTGTCGGATGCAAGTGATACCAGAACATACTGGGAATTTTTTCCAAGATGGCTGCCTCTCACTGGAGGTCCCGAGAGTCTATTTCGTACCCAACCTACCGTGCATGCATTTTGAATGGGTACAAAATATTCAAAAGGTGTTTTCTCAGTTGGCGCAGTTTCCCACCGGCCGAGTTTTCTTGGTTGACGAGGCACAGTGATTAAGATATACTAAGTGGAGATATTTAAATAAGCTTACTAAAAGAATATTATATATTGACAATGGTTTTGAAAGGTTATTGGATATTTAGGATACTGATGGCAGTATAAATTTGGCCAGTATTCAATTTAGAAGCATAATACAGAACTTCCACAGCATGTTACAAATTAAATTATAATCACTTACCATCCGTTTGGCCTTCCATTTTCTTTGGATTTTTGTACACAAATCTATCAAGGAATCGCATAAGTGTGAAGTCTTGTAGGGGATCTCCAGAGTAATCAATACTTTCCCCAGCGATGAGCTTGGTGGCAAACAGTGATACAGATGGGTGGTAGTGTGCCTGAAATATTTAGATGTACAATAGTATGTGACAATTTGTAACTCCACCGGGAAAGTACAATAAGTCAACAAAGTTTTACAGACTACTGGAAGATTCACAGAAAACCAAGACTCAAAACAGCCTGACAACTCTACAAAATATTCTCACAAAACAAGGGATTTCAAACTAGTTCGAAATTCATTAGCATAATTAATGTTGTAAGATTGCAGGCTTGAACAGGGATCGCCATCACCAGGAGGCCTGGCTCCATCCCATATTCAGCTCCTCTTACCAGCCAATTCTGGAGCTGATGAACTGCCCACTGACAAACAGACAAAACTGGAGAGAGAGGTAATTAAGGAGCCACTGGAAAGCCACTGGGGCCCTACCAGAAAAACACGTTTCATTACATTCAATCCCATGGTTTGTGAGGGAAACCCCTGGTGGCTCCCTGAAGCTAACTGGACTTACAAGGTGGCTAGGAAGAAGAAGAGAACCCAGGCAGAGAGACAGCCCAACTAGGAACTACCTACCTGCCTTATGTCTACCTTGTGTAGCTTCCAGGGATCAATGACCCCATGGTCCAGTCTCCAACCAGGCCTCCAGGTTGGTCGTCTGGCCAACCAGGCTGGTGGACGTGGCTGCTCACAGCCTGACGTATGAATCACAGCCCAATCAGGTATTCTTTGGAGGGGTTTGTCGAGTTCTCTCTTGAACACTGTGAGAGGCCGACAAGTCATGCTCTTGATGTGTAGCAGGAGTGTGTTGAAAACTATTCGGCCCTTAATGTTGATAGGGTTCTCTCTCAGTGTTCCTATTGCACCTCTCCTTTTCAACGGGGTATTCTGCACATCCTGCCATACCTACTGGTCTTGTGTGATGTTATTTCTGTATTCAGATTTGGAACCAGTCCCTCTAATATCTTCCATGTGTAGATTATTAAGTATCTCTCTCGCCTGCACTCTAGAGAATACAGATTTAGAACTTTTAATTGATCCCAATAATTAAGATGACTTGTAGAGTGGATTCTAGTGGTAAAGGATCTATGCCTGCTCTCCAGGTTAGCAATTTCTCCGGTTCTGAATGGGGCCATTAGAGAACACCAATATTCCACCCCTAGAGAGCACTAGTATCTTAAAACTCAATGAACCATGAACACTGACTAAATACCACGCTGCCAGATCCCTATTAGAATGCCAAAACACCAAACATGTTGGAGAAGACCATGCCCAAAGCTGCATATCTGCAAACATCATTGTATTGCAGGCTGGCTAAATTTAGTGACACTGTGAATGACCTGGGAAATGTCAGCCTTGGAACAGGGAACCAAGCAAACAGGGTCAACTGAGGGACCAAGCAAACAGGGGTCTAGGCGAGGTGCCAGGTTCAACCCGAACAGGAAACAATGAAAGTGGTAATCTTGACGCCCCACAACAAACCCGAGCCAGTCCCTGAGCCCCGGATGAATCGGGAAGTGCCAATAAGCGTCCCGGAGGTCCAGGGACACCATCCAAGAACCTGGCTCCAACAGGAGCCGAACTTGAGACAGCATAGTCATCCGAAAGGAGGGGCAATGAACCCAGGGGTTCAGACGGGAAAAGTCCAGAATGCCTGCAGGTCCACACAGTCCCGTTTCGGCACTGGAAACAAGCGGGAAACCCATCTGAGGGACGACGCCCAAGCAAACCCACTCCAAGATGACTCGACGGAGGGCAGGAGAAAAGCCTGCCCGGCCAGCCCTGAGTGCCCCGAAAGGGGAGGAGCCACCCAATGCCACCGCAGGTCAAAGGAAACGACCCAAACACCCACAAATCGTGGGACCAGGCGTGAGCAAATAGCGCAAGCCCCCCCCCCCCCCATCGCCCCGTCAATGGAGCAAACCGCAGAAGGGCCGGCGCCCCTTACGAGACCCAGAACCTCAAACAGGGCAAACACGGCGCCGACCAGCCGAAGGTTGGTCCGAAGGTGGAGCCAAACCCGAACCTGGCACTAGTGGCCTACCATGATGAGTGGAACCCTGAGTCCTGGCACGACCCCTCCACAAAGGATCCCCCCAGGACCTCCGGAGAACCAACAAGTTCAACATCGGACCGCAACTGGTCGACGCAGCCTGAATATACTGCGCCTAGGCCGCCAGAGCAAAAAGCAGCGGATAAAAGGGAGAAGACAACCTAAGAGCCAGGGCCCAGGCTGCTTCCAGAGAGGAGGCAAGCACCGCCTGTCGACACGCGAGCCGGGAAGCGTAAAACTGGGCAACCGCGTCCCTCAAGATCGGCGCAAACATCTTCAACAAAGCAGCCAACGTGCGGGCAGCTGAGCCCAAGGCACCAGACCGTGGAACAGCCCCAAGGGACCCCACGTCCTCCCCAAGCCAGTCTGAAGAACACTCCAGGAGGGAAAAGAAGTACAAGGCCGAAGTCAAGAGGCCCCTGGCACGCAAATCCTCAGCCACATGCGCAGCCGAAAGGGAGGGAACCTGCACATAGAGCTTCAGAACACCAACATCCCGGGAAAGGGCAGTAGCAAACAAGCACTCATTGAGGCGCTCAAGGTCGCCCCCCAGGAAAACCTGAACCACAAGAGGAACCTCGCTCCACTCAAGCGTGCAGGAACGACAGAAGGAATGCCAGGCTTCCAAAGCAAAGACGGGCAAGTCCGCCAGCCAGGACGACTCCGGAACCTCGTAACGGACCCAGAAAGGGAACGAAGTCCCAAACCTGACAGACGACGGATCCATCACCGAGGCTTAATCCGGGTCACACAGGAGGTAAGCCGCAAGGGCCGCTCGCCCTGTGGCGCAGGTTGGATGCGGGAAGCCGAAAATCTCCGGAAAGACAGAACCGAACCCGGGGAGGGGCAGACACCAAATCCAAGTCGTACGAGGAGGGGGAAAGAGAGAACCCCACACCTTGTAACAATAAGCCCCGCTCCGAGGGTATAAAAACCCAGGCAGGGGTCAAGCGGGGGCCCAAGGCCCCTGTAGCGAGTAGCTTATCCTAATAATATAATCACTCCAAATGCATTAGAATAATGAGAGAAGCAAAGCTCTTCTTAGTACTAATTATGGAACTCAAACCTTTCCCTACTTCCTGTTAATATTCCTGCCAACCTTTGGAGAAGGGTGAGGTGTTGCCCAAGCACATGAGGAGCAGAGTAGCAAATAGTAACTACTCTACTTTCAAGTGTGGTCTAGAACAGACACTTGCGAGATACTGTACCGACTCTCAGTGCACTCAACCCACACCATTGCTCGCCAAGGTATCACCTGCATACTTCTGTATACTCAACCAAATATATATATTTTATTAGTGTCTGTGATTGTTGTCACCATACTTTACGTAACAATAGAACCGTTACACCCCCAAGTCAGCCCCTCCCCAGCCCCAGGATCCTCATCCTCGGGACCCGGGGCCGAGTTGTCCCCCTGAGCACCGGCCCCTAAAGAAAAGGCCGGTGCGGCCAAGTAAGCCGAACAGAAGGGGGCCCACTGGTTAGACCCAAAGGCTTCGGCTGGGAGATCGGACTCGAAGGCCTCCATCACCACACCGGAAGAGGCATCCCCCAAGACCGCCAGAGACTCAAGACCATCTAAACCCTGCCCCGACTCCGAAACCCTCAGACATTTCGGAGCCGGAAGCAGGGGGAGGAGGGGGCCCAGACCGAACTACAGAAGGGGAAGAACGAGGGGGCGCGGACTGAACCAAGGTCGAAGTGACCCCAAGTCCGAGTCCCTATAAGCAAAACAGGGCAGCCTTGGGGCATCCGGGTGAGCAACCAACCTAGCGCGTTGCAACAACCTAAAACGCGCATGCAATGCCTGCGCTGCCTGTACCCTCATAAGATCATCAGTGGACTGGGTAAATTGAGTCACCAGCAAGCAGTAGTACTCACAGGACTCAGGGTCGAAAGTGTCGCCGACCCAACAGGAAGATTGACGCATGCAAAAACCGTGAGGGTCACCCTGAGTCAAGGGAACTGAGCAACCCTCAAACTCGCATGAAGCAAAGGGGGGCTCCGGGGACACATCCATCGGACCCATGCGCCCCCTAGGGGATTCCCAGGGTCCTGAGCGCTTATTCTAAGAAGACTTGCACCCAGGTAAGCCCAGGCAGGGTACTGCTAACCGGCGCCCAAAACAACCAAACAACTCTAAAACTGAACCCCAGGGACATGTACACTCATGGGGACCTAGTAAGAGGCACCACTGAATGAACACAGCACAGGCAGGCCCAATGAGGGCAAAGCAAGGCAGACCCCCACAAGGCCCCTAAACAAAAAGAAAAACAAAACCCCGCAAGAGGACAACGCACCCCAAGGAACAGAGCCGGCCACCGTGAATGGTGACAACTAGCTGCGCAGCACCCTGCACCCCACCAGTGCAAACTGCCTCTTACCCTAAGGTAAACAAGGAAGACAACCCCCAAACACCCAAAGGGCAGCCGAAACCGAGCAGTCAGATGGCCTAGCAGAAGCAGGTCCTGAGGAACTTGTACAAGGTGGCCTCAAGGACAGTACTTACAGGGCACCTAGGGACGATAACCTTAGGCGCATGCAGCCCAAGTACCGTGGAATAACTCCTGGCTCTCACATCCCTGGAAGACAGCCACCACACGCTATATACATGGCTGAAAAAAGCTGAAGCCCACGACCACTGCCTCTAGCATCAGCCTGAACTAATGGGTAGATAGGCGGCGTGATGGGTCTGGGGCTACCCCTTCCTGGGGAGGGGGGAGCTGCGCAGACAGCAGTACGGCGACGTGTGATGTCATGATCGTTTGCTTGTTTCTTTTAGGGGAGTTCTATCCACTTGTTTGGCTTGTGGCAGCAATAATTTCACCAGAATAGGGGTTTGTTTTGGGACGCTTACTTTTCTGGGTGCCTGACCCGGTTGATGGCAGACATAAAATGCTTCCAATCACACAGGGGTTTCTACAGGCCATTGCTCCCCTTGCCCCTCTTGAGGGGGGGGCCAGGTTCTGGCTCGTGGTTCCCGGTAGGCCCACCGAACTCCATACACGTGA